CCACTTAGCCAACGTGATTCCGGGCTAAGGTCCGCCTTATTCTGCGACCGCGTCGCATCATCCGCTGCGTTGTCAGCTGTGGGTACCCACCTCCACTGGGAAACCTTCGACGACTCCAAAATCTCCGCCACTCGGTTGCCAACAAACTGCTTGTACCGGCGGTGGGTGCTGCCGATCCATCTCAGCACCGTCTTTGAGTCCGTCCACAACACCGTCTCGCTGATGTCCACACTGTGCTCCTCCTGGACAGTGTTCATCAGTCTGGTTCCAAGAACCGCTGCCTGCAGCTCCAACCTTGGGATCGACATCGTTCTCATCGGCGCGCACTTCGTCTTTGCGCACACGAAGCTAACCATCACGTTGTCATCCTCGTACGTGACCCTCCAATAGGCCACCGCCGCGAATGCAGATTGACTTGCATCCACGAACACGTGCAACTCGACGTTCCGGACTGCTCCATGCCCGAAATAGTGACGAGGGCATCGGAACTGTCTCACGGCGTCCATCTCCCTGCGCCAGGCCGCAAAGGCTCTGCCTATCTCCTCCGGTAGTGGTTCGTCCCACTGGATCTTCTGCCTCCAGATCTCTCTCAACAACAGCTTCGCTGTAATCATCAGGCAGCACAGGAATCCCAATGGGTCGAACGTTGACATCAGCAGGCTCAAATACTCCCTCTTTGTAGGGACTCGATCTCCACTTAGAACGCTACTTGGCACTCGGTGATACTCCACGTTGAACCTGAAGTCGTCCGTGGCTACCTGCCAGCGCATTCCAAGGATCTTCTGCTCAGCCTCACCCCATCCGACGCTCTTGACTTGTCCGGGTGGTCCCAACGCCGCTTCCACGATGGGTGAGCTGGATGAAAACTGGCATAACTCGAATCCAGCCTCCGCATGTATCTCCTTCACTCGGGTAGATACACTTATAGCTTCGCTCTCTGTAGCGAAACTGTCCACATAGTCATCGACGTAGTGGTAGTCGATGATGGCCTTGACTGCCCTCGGGTCTGAATCCCGAAACTTCAGGGCATTCACCGTCTTTACGTAATGCGCAGCGCTCGGCGAGCAGGCTGCTCCAAAGGTCATTACGTTCATCTCGTACACATCCGGGTCTCGATCGTCGTTGCCATCTCTCCAAAGGAATCGTTGGGAACATCGATCCTCGGGTCGGATCAGCACTTGGTGGAACATCTCCTTGATGTCACCGCAGACTCCGACTGCTCCTTCCCTGAAGTGGAAGAGCACGGCTGGCAAGGGCTTGTAATGCTGAGGCCCCTTGTCCAGCGCCGAATTTAGCGAGGTTCCTCCAACCTTGGCTGCAGCATCGAACACAAGCCGGACCTTACCGGGCTTGTTCGGGTTTTCGACACCAAAATGTGGCAAATACCATAGCCGGTCGCTCGTCACCGCGACCTCATCCTGCTGCAGCTTCCTCGCATATCCTTTGGATACGTAATCCTTGATGATACGATCGTATTCCAGCGCCAACTGCCCGTTGCGCTTCAACTTCTTCTCCACATTGATCAGCCGTCTGTGCGCCATCTCATAGCTCCGTGGCAGCACAGCGTAGTCGTCCTTCCAGAGTAATCCCGTCTGGTAGCGACGCCCCACTTTCACCGTGGTATCTTCGAGGATCCTTTGTGCCCGCGCGTCATCGCTGCCTGCGACCTGTGGCGCGAGCTTCACACCAAAGCTTTCCATCTCGAAGTAGTCCTCCACCATCTTTTCCATCGTATCATCCATTGACACGGCTAGAAGGCAGGACCTCGGTGACGGCGTAGTCGATTGCCCACTTACTGGCCCAAACACAACCCATCCAAGCTCGGTTGCGGCCGCATACGGTCCCTCTCTGGCAAACCGCCTCGTCCTAAGTGGCAATCCCAAATGTCCATGGTCCAGTCCGATGAGCAACTTAGGCACCACGTTGATGTAGGGCTTCATCGGCAGACGCGCATCCTTATGCACGCCCTGGACATCTCGTCGACCTAACGTCTGCATTGGCAGACTCAGGCTCGAAACGGAGTACACGTTCCTTAAAGCGTGGCGAGTGGAATTCCCAGCTCCACTTATCTCTAGGCTCACCACGTTGCTGGGCTCTCTGCTGGCCCTTCCTCCAAACCATTGTATATTCAGCTGTCGATGTACGCCTCGCACTCCCAGATCCCTCCGTAGCTCGTCATCGATCATCGTGACGGAGGATCCTTCATCCAAGAGCGCGTATGTATCCACCTGGCGACCAGCTCCGTACAGCGTTACTGGCAGTATACGGAACAAAAGTCGGCCTCCTTCGGCGTCAACGCAGTTTAAGTTCCTCTGCACGGGTGCCTCCGCTGGCTGCGGGGCCCTTATCTCCAGGCTGTTTCTGGGGACAGCCGACTGTAGGCTCCCCTCGTGGTCCCTGTAACCACCTCGTGGCGAAGACCTCCTGTCCGGGCCGCGTCTGGAAACTGCTGACTGCTGGTTTCCTCCGTTGTGGCTCCTGAAGCCACCTCGCTGCGCCGGCCATCTTCGCTCCTCGTCCGCACCATGTAGCAGACGGTGATGCAATCTGCGGCATCCGTTGATCTGGCACTCGCCATGTACATCGCAGGTTCTGGTCGTATGTCCACTCCGTAAGCATGTGAAGCAGAGCCGATGCCTCCTCACCATGCTCCACCTACCCGGTGGCGAAGCTCCAATGAACTCCCTGCAGCTCGCCGCAGCATGTTGCCCTCCACAAATTGGACAACCTCCATGCCGATCATCCTGTTGATCGCATCCGTTCTGGTCGACGCTCGCATGTAGAACTCGACGCCTCGGCTCCTTTCCCTCGACGTCCAAAACCGTACACACGACGTTTGCGTACTCCTGCAGCCACACGCTGAAGTGCGCCACAGTGGGAAAGGGTTCGATCGATGCAGCGTGCCTGGCCCAGTCTACTCGCTTGCTCGTAGGAAGCTTTGCCACAAGCTCCTCCATTAGCGTTGAGTTCCGCAGGTGCTGCTCCGCCTTCGCTGACTGCAAGAAGGCCGTGAGGTTACTCACTCGGGTTGCAAAGGGAACGATCCTCGCCAGGTGCTGCTCCGAAATCGGCGGCACCTCTCGCACGCTGTTCAGCTGGCTGCGTATAAGCTGCTCCGGTCGGCCGAACCTAAAGCGCAGCTGCTCCATCACGGCGCTGACGTTCCCAGGGTGAATCAGCAGCGACTTCACTGTCTCGCGTGCTTCATCCTTCAGCGCCTTCAACAACCTCTGGTTGTTCTCCAAGTCTGTGCAGTTGTATGCTTGGGTCGTCTCCACAAACGCACAGTTAAAGATCGGCCACTCCTCGGGCTGCCCTCCAAATACAGGCAGGTCCGGAAGCTTCCTTGGCCCGTACACTCTTTGGGATTCATTCGGCGTTATCGGGGCGTAGGACCCAACAAATGGCGATGCTGTTGCCACGTTGTGGGTGCTCCCGCCCGGTAGCACGAATCCATGCGCTGTCTGCGCAACACTTGTAGCACACAGTGGCTCCACAAAATGATTGCTAGTCGTTAGCAATGGCGGTCCACTCCAAGATGGCGGCAGCGTGCAGGCCGCACTGCTCGCACCGACACCGCTATGTGGGACCGGCCCGACCCCGTTAGTTGAGGCCTCACCGTTAGATATGGCTAATGGCGGTCCGCTCCAAGATGGCGGCCGCCCCGACGCTCCACTGATGGCGCCATCTGCGCTTGGGCCAACTGCGATTGGCGCGCAATTGGCGGTGCTCACACTGTTCAGGGCTTTAACCTGCTTTAGCTCCTCCTCCAACGCCGCAATCCTTTTCAAAAGGTCCGACGTGAGGGACTGGTTCGTCTCCGGCTCTGATCCCGCAGCTGTGACAGCAGTACTCCTCGGTTGGGACGCTACTGTAGTCACCGTAGTGGCTGGGCTAGAAATGGCCGCCGCCGAGGTTATGTTCACTCGCGGCCGGTTTTCTGCTCCACTACTCACTGGCTGCTGATCCGCTCGCGTTGCTGTAGGGGTGGCTTCCCCTCCTCTCAGCCGGGAGCTCCTCTTCGGGGAATGCTGCATCCTAACAGGTCCAAATACGGCGCTGCCTCAGCGCTCTCCAAAATGGCGGCACCTGTGCCTTCTGGCCGCTGGCTGCGGCAGGCGATGCTTGACGCTCCTTGCGTCTTCTGGCCCGCTGTCTGCGGACCCCGTGCTTGGCGCTCCTTGCGCCTCCTGACCGCTGTCTGCGGTCTCCTTAACTGACGCGGCCTGCGTCTCCCTGTCGCTGACTGCGACTCCGTCCGTACCCAGTGTTCGGCGCTGTCTGCGCCCGTCTATGTCGCTGCCTGCGACTCCTCTACTGGTACGGGAATTGCTCCTGGCAACTCTCTAGCTGGTCGTCAAGCCGTCCTCCAGCGCAAGTTGCCCTTACAGTCTCCCTAGGACTGCGAATAAAAGGAGTTGTCTTGCATCATATGGAGTTGCCTTGTTAACGACTACCCCACACGCGTAGGTCCGAAGAGAGGGTGAACTTTAAGGGCGGCGTGCGCCTGGTGGCGCTCGATTGGTGCGATCGGGGCGATCGTTTTATTCTGTTAACAATTCAAATCAGCCTCATACATTTCAAACTAACTTAATCTTACCGCAGTGTGCCCTCCTACGATTCACAAGACAATGAAAGGCACAATTTATGGCGGCATCCATTAAACCGATATTAGTAGGCCCGCACTTCAAGGGCCAAGAAATCCATACGAGATCGGATAAATTAACAAATACTAGATTTCTCTTACAATACTTAGTCTATCTATCGATTACAATGTTCGACCGTCGACAGCTAGAGATTTTCAATCTGGACAATATCGGCTCCCTGGCGCGCAATGATTCGCTTTTAGGGTGGCCATCTTCAATTGGCGCCATTTTCAAAACGTTTAAAATTTAAAGTTTTAATGCTTTTAAAAGTTTACAAGAAGTTGATCTACATGAATCGCCACTAGCTTTCCCAAAAATATTTTCTATTAAAAGAAAGAATACACGCAAATCCGATTCAGTAATTATTATTATTTTATTTAATGTGGTTGTTAATGCATTACAAATAATCAATATTGAATATTTCAGATGGTATTCCTCTGTCGTAGCTTGGGTTCTTGTGTCTCTTCTGTATGTGTGTGCTTGGTGGACTCTGTGCAAATTATATATATTTTCCAGCATTACTTAATAATTATAATGTTTCAGCATTTCGAGCAGTAGTAGGTTCAAATCGAGTTCTATCTGTTGTGATTTAGTGTTGCGTCCAACGTTAGTTAATATTTATTCAATTGTTCTATTATTTTACGGTATAAAGTTAGTTTAGCTAGCTAAAAAACACATGTACAGTCGCATATAAGTATGTATATATATCATTTATTTTATTGAAAATGTTTGCGTTATTTTTCAAATAACAGTTCTTAAGTTGACAAAAAATTTAAGTTTAGGCGTAGGCTTATGTTACAATCGTGGTTATTGGCCGTTTTTGGGAAGTGAGTTCGTTACTTCATCTAATCGAGGAAAATGAAATGGTGCTCTACACAGGATGAAAATATAAGTACTTGGAAATATGTATGTGAGCTTCTTAAACTGTTTTGTGTATAATCTTTTGATTTATTTTGCATTCGATATATGTACGGTTCTGTCGTAGATTTAAATGCAGTTATTGATATTCGTAGGTTAGAGGGTTCTATTAACTTTGCAGCGTTAAGGAGTGTATATATGAAATTCCTATATTTCTTTGTTCTATCTGTATAACTTGTATTTTTTATTTACTCATGTATAAGTGGTATATTTTGTTTCTGTTTTAATGGACGTTTGATGATTATTTGCTTCGAAATTATAGCTTAAGGTGCTTGAAACTAGGCTGAAAGTAGCGCAAGATACAAAATGATGCTCGTTGTAAATAGAATATGCTCGTATAACTAGTAAGATTTGTATTTAGCTTGCGTTGTATCGTTATCGTATTCGATTCGATTCGTTTTGGTCTTAAAGCTAGGTTTTCCTTTGAAATTGGATTTCAATGCAGTGCGGTCCTGCGTTCGCCGTCCTTGAGCAGGCCTGCTAACAATAAATTAGTGCTGGATCGCAGGACGGGGCTTCCCCGCCTCGATTCGCCAGCCGACTAGAGTAATAGACTAAATTTAACAATTCCTTTGGGGGCATCAGATCAGAGACTACAGCTAGGGAATGAATTTTCGTTTCAGAGCAGGGATTCAAACGGGCTTACAATGTTATTAATCAATTTGATTTTCAATATTTTATAAAGATGGTCACACTGGTTTCCAAAAAATTAGCAGTGTGGCCTTGCAATTTAAAGTGACGTCTAAATAAGGATATCTTTGATTTAAAAATTAAAACTGGGCTTACCCAGTAACATAAAAACTTTTTTAATAATTAAGACATATGTAAGTCCCGTTTTGAATCCCCCTTTGAGAGTGAAGGGCGCTTAGATGGTCCACACCTGGACTTTTTCGGCCACCACACACCAGCTGGCCCGCTCGTAGTAGGAACTAACGATGTGCAGGCTGGCCACATGGTGGTTGATCAGTGCGTCCAGCTCGCCCTCGCGGAACACATGATAGTAGCGGTGGTGGGTACTAGCTCCTCCCTGCGAGGGGCTATCCAGGGAGTTGGTGGAGCTGTTCGAGTGCTCCAGGGATTCGTTGGAGGGTCGCTGTTGAAGATTAGCCGGTTGGTTGGGCTCCTTCTGAGGTTGCTGTTGCTGGGAGGTCGTCGGAGGTTGGACCTTCAGGGCAGCCATGTTGCGTCGGCGTTGGCCATAGTCCGACATCCCCTCGCCCAACTGATCACCACCTCGGGCCTCTAGAGCTTCCGCCTCGGCATCCTCGTCCTGTTCCTCCTGCTCCTCCTCCTCGGGAATGACATCGTCCTCGTCTTCCTCCCGCACATCACTATCCCCGTCATCCTGGAGGAGATAGGCTGTCTCCGGGTTGAGCTGATAGTGCCGATTCCTCTTGTAGTTGAACTTGGAGATCTTGCAGTGCTCGTAGACACCTAGGGAGTAGCTGGACTCGTTCTCCTCCTCCTCCTCTTCCTCGCCATCCTCCTCCTGGATGGTGAAGCTACGGGTTTGCGAGGATAGTGATGAGGTGGAGGAGCTCACAGGGGATTGTTGGAGACTAGGTTGCGTGGACAGATTGGCCAGCATCAACCGTCGTTCCCTGAGTTCATCCCGGAAAGCACTCAGATCGCCATTGGAGCGCTTCTTACCGCCGCCCAGGAACTCCGAAAGATCTCCCATACCGATCCCATCCAGATATCGGCACTCGGTTCGATTGCTCTTGTCCTCCAGTTCCCGCTGCAGTTGGGCAGTCAGTTGCTCGGCGAATTCAGCACAATCCTGCTTCTGCGTGGCCTCCCTTTTCTCTGGAAGAAGTGTGGCACTATCTGCATTTAGGATTATATCATCTTCGCCCTGGGAACGGGAGTTATTGATCTGGAGCTCTCCCTTGTGGTACTGCTCCTGCTGAAGACTGATCAGTTGGGCCAAACTGGGCTCACCTTCGTCCTGGGAGTTCGAGTTGGCGGAGGCACCTCCTCCTTCATCGCTTCCCGAGGGCACCTTAGCCGATCTTGGAGCGCTGATCACACTGTCTATGGAGTCAGGAGAGGAAGGTTCACTGGAATCGCTGTCCAGGTCATCGGTGGCCGGGTTGAAGAGCTCGAGGGAGAGCAGCTTGGTGGCCAGCGAGGTGGAAGATGCCGAGGTGGACACCCCAGATCCCGAGGCTCTCCTCACGATGGGGAAACTCTGGCGTTGCAGCTGCAGCGATTGCTGTTTCCGGAACTTGGGAATGGGTGGCAAATCTCGGATGGCCTGGCGGGTGATCCGGCGAACCGGAGGCGACTCCTTAAGCGGTTCCCTAGGCAGCTCCTTCACAGGCTCCTTTTTGGGTGGCTCCATCTGCTGCTCCTTCTGCTGCTCCTTCTGCTGCTCCTTCTGCTGCTTGATGTGCGCCTCATCGAAGCTGAAACGAGCTGGTTTCGAGGGGGGAGTCAGGATGGCCATGGCGGCGGAGACAGCAGAAGTGGACTGCGGCGGAGATGTCACCGTGCCCTGGATGGCAGCTGGGGAGTGGGCCGGAGTGGGTGGGCAGGGCATAATCAGAGGCGACGTTGGCACTGAGTGAGTGGGCGGCAGTCGAGAGCCGGGGTTCCCCGAGCCCTGATCCCTTCCAGCGGCTCCCTGGGCCCTCTGACCATTACTCGACGAGGAGTTGCTGGAACTGGAGTTGGAGTTCTGGTGCTGCTGCTGGTAGTTCAACTGCTGCTGGTGCTGCTCCGGCTTTGGTATGAAGATGACCGAGGCGAAGCTGTCCTCGGACTCGATGCTGGTGTCCGACTGCAGGCTGCTGTCCTTGGAGGAGTCCGACCCCGACTCCCGAGAGTGCCTCCTAGCCTTGTCCCCCTGGCCGCCATCTGCGCAGGCCGGGCACTCCTGCTGGTACTGGCTGCAGTGGCACAGATTGCCCATGGTACACTCCACACTGCTACAGTACGTCACGGGTCCCGAGGACGTGGAGGATGAGGGCAGTATCAAGTGGGAGAGATGATGGACGGGATGGTGGTGGTGGTGATGGTGGTGCTGATGGGCCACCGTCGCTCCTGCCACTCCCGCCTGCTTATTGTTGTTATTCAGCGTGGGGTTCTTGTTGTCCACTTGAGTGGGATTCTGGGCAGGATTAGGCTGTGTCTGCGGCACACTCTTGATGTTTTGGATCAGCTTACTTATCCCTGTCTTGGTCACCCTCTCCAGGCTGCCCGTGGAGCTCTTGATTTTGGTGGTGAAGCCCTCGCGGATCACCTGTAACCTCTTGGAGAACAGAGCCGATCTGCAGAGGAAGGCTTCGTTGAGCGAGGTCTGCTTCTGGATGCGCTTGCGCACCCTTTCCTTCTCCCTCAGCCGATTGCAGGCCATCAGATCCTCGTTCAGGGAGCTCTGTTTGCGCAGGAAGGTGGGTGCTCCCGATCCTGATACACCAGTTGGTCCTCCTCCTCCCTCGACAGGATCTCCCGAAGGAGGCGTGGCCGTCGATGAGGCATGCTGATGGAAGTTCCCAGCGTAGCAGCCGCTCCTTGTGTACAAACTACTGCTCACGGCGCCATTAGAACCATTCAGGCTGCTCACCATCTGGAAGGATTCGGAGGCGGGAGGCGTGGAGGCGCCGGCGGCGTCATCATCGCACAGGGATTGCTTCTGTTTGATAAGCTTGGGCCTCCGGCTCAACGTGTTTCCAGCACTTGCCGTTGCCGTGGGCGAATGTCTTCCATTCAGTTGGAGTTGCAACTGAAGTTGTTGTGCCTCCGGGGCATTGAGTAAAAGGGCAGCTGCACTGGCCTTGGATTCGCCGGGAATCAAAGGACCTCCCAGGCTGGGAACACTAGACCTCGAGCGGACAATCTGGCGGGGAGGAGGCTGCAGAATGCTGCCCAGGCTGCGGGATTTGAGGCCAGCCGATAGAGGAGGATCGGGAAAGTCCTCGAAGTCCTCCAGGCGACGCAGCTCGATGGGCAGGTCTTTCGCGTCCTCGTAGTCCAAACTACTATCGTTCTTGGTATCCTTCGAGGACCAGGAGTCCATGAACCAGGCATGCCTTCGTCCACGAGCCAGTTTCTAAGGTTTCAAAATAATATATGTATTAGTAAATAATAATAACAAATAAACACTTGATAAATACCTGAATGGCCCTGCGAACGAAGCTGTAGCAGGACTCCCCCGGCGAGGACGAACTCAAGCTGGAACTATCCCCATCTCCTGCCGATCGACTGGAATTCGTCGAGTCCTCGGTGTAGGCGTGGTAGGGCGGCTGGAAGTTGTCGTCGTCCTCCTCATCCGAGTAGGAGTAGTTGCGGTTCTTTGGTGGCTGCCAGGGTATCAGCACATCCTGCGACTCGAAGCGTCGATGCCGCTGTTCCAGTGCCCACACGGTGATCACCACGCGACCACCGATTCTCAGGATCCTGGCCAGCTCCCTCAGAGCCTGGACACGTCGCTCCGTGGTGGCGAAGTGGTGCACCACCGCCAGCGACAACACCGCATCGAAACTGTCGTCCCGAAAAGGCAGCTCCAGATTGTCACAAAGGGCCACCTGGAAAGGAAAATAATAATTATGTTAGTCATTGGAAGTGGGAACATAAAATTTATCTTAAATATTTTTTATAAAATATATGAATCTTCAATAAGTTAAAGCTATCGGAAGGAACTCAAATTGAACTAATAAGCCTTTAAAATAAAATAATAGTCATATGCACCCTGTTCAAATGTCTCCTAAGTGACAAGAGTTATTTAAAAATGTCTAAAGAACCTAAAAAATAATATGTTTCACAAAAATCGAACTTTATTGGATTAATAACATACATACAATATTTTAAATAATTCCAGAGAGTCGAGTTCTATTTGTTTTATGTTGCCAAGAAATTACCTTCATTGGAATAATTAGTGTTAGTTACTAACATAACATTTTATTAAACCATTCTCTTAGACAACTTAGCTCTCCCTCATAATTTAAATAATTTGATTGATTTACGGACTTTATGATTTCCCCAGGTGGAAGCCCAACACCATAGAATCGCAGCCCACCAGTGATCCCCTGGGTAGCCATGCCAATTAAGCTGTGTCAAAGATAAGTCCTCGCAGGAGTCTCTTTGTGGGGTCGGGACTGCGGTTGCTGACATCGAGTCCTTCCCAGGAATCTCCCACGGGTGCTGCCCGCAAAAGTATGCAATTGAAATGGTGTAAGCTGCGGCCACAAAGAGGAGATGATGCAATTTTTAAGCCCTGAGAGAAGGACCATCATCAATCGCCTTCGAGGAAAGTTCTACTTTCAGGACGGATGACACGAAAAAAAGAAGAAATTTCCATATCAAAGCGTTGCAGCCTGATTGAATAAGGCATTCAGTATTCCTTTCGGTTGGCTACATCATTTCGCAATTAGTAACTTTTTCCGTGCTGGGAAAACAAAGTTATCGGTTCGGCTGGCTGATTGGAAGTTGGCTTCTTCCATTTGTCATTCAAATGTACGCTGGGGGAAAAGTCCTGTTCGAAAGTTGAACACTTGGCCATCGGAACCAACAACCTGACCTAACACAATGTGGCCAAAACCGATGCAGGTGTTCCAGCCATATGCACGCCATTTATATTCATTTTCGTGTCATGGCCAGAGAACTGATGGTGTCAATTACCATGGCTGGGATAAAGGGAGTTGGCCAAACAAAGGTGTATTTTATTCGTTCAATATCTACATATACTATGCACTTTGGATGACAAACTGCCGAGCGCGTCAATGCAGAAATTTAATATCGATTCAAGCTGTTCCGGGAAATGCAATTCCTGGCACCCAATATAGATTTACAATTTCCCAGGAAATTTCATTGCTCTCAATCTCCTCGTTTGTCGAATCAAATTTACATTGCGCCAGCAAATGCTAAATTAAATGTTGGAAAAGGCTACACAAGTATTATGTTTCGCTCCCCGATGAAATGCCATTTTATTTGCTGCAATCTTGTATTTCCGCTTCCTGCTCAACTATTATCGCAATGCCTGTGTGTGTGTATTTGCACTCTACACAGGCTGTGGGTGTGTTTTTCTGCAGAAATAAAAATCCTTGACCCGCCAAGCCTTACACTTTCCCAGAGTTTTCCGCCTGAGGTGAGTCAGGTGCTCTCTGCCCACCAGCAGAAATTCAGACTGTGCCATTACAAGCTCGAAGTCTTCAGCAAATATCAATTAACATAAGTGTTTTTCGGCCTCTGAACTTTTGATGGGGATTAAACATGGAAAAAATTGTATTTTAAGCGATTTCTGGGATCTTAGATAGATGCAGTAGATGAAAAAACTTAAAAAGAATTGAGACCAACCTTAAGTACTTGATAAAAAGTATATCTTAGGATGATCTAATGTTTTTAAAAAACATATAGGGAGTTCTATTAGAAAGACGTGGTATTGAACTTTATAAGCTTTCGGTTCTGTATGTTTTATTGAGTTTTTTGATTGAGAAGCATATTTTGTTAATTTGAAAATATTACTTTTTGAAGAAAATGTTATAAGACTGATTCTATCAAATAGCCTTCTATCCCCACACCAAAACTGTTGCAAAATCTATCCTTTTAGATGCATAAAATGGAAATTAATCATTGTATTCTCTTTTGTGGAAACGCCCAGGCAAACAAACAGAATCTCATGCATTTTAGGTAAGCAAGCTTTTGTTTTCCGCTCATGAGGATGATTCTTAATGCATGACGATGCAGAGCCATTCATCTGATCCCCAGGATCCCCACACCCACACCACACCCATAACCATAACCATATCCCCTGCACTTTAGTTTCTCCTTTCGATGAATGCGCAAGCTGACAGTTTTCCTTTATTTGCCATGTTTTTCTCCTTTCCAAGTGCGCTATACAAATCGTATTTATAGCAGTGGCCATTTTTCACATAGGGGGCTTTTGTGTGTGCAGGATAGTGTCACGCGGGTCGGGCACATGACGCCTTTGAAATTTATGTTGACAGGACTTTCCAGGAGGAGGGGGCGGAGGAGGGTGGCGGGGGCAAGTGTCAGGTGAAAGTGAAAAACGTAACGCATACGCTGCGTCGCACGCTAATGAGGCCAAAGCGCAGCTCAAAAGACGAAAAGACGGGGCCAAAAGAGGAAAACCTCTATAAGTATATACTGCATACTTTATTCAGCAGGTATCTCTCCCCTTTTGCGGCTTATTTAAATGGCGCTTTAGCCAAGAAAATTGCAGGTTTCACCTGGCCCAGAAAAAGCCCAGCCATTATTGAGTTTCACTTTTTATGTTTGCGGCGCTGCAGCATTTTTGGGGGTTTTCCGGGGTGGAAGATTTACGGCCTGCTGCTCCACTTGCTTTTACAAAATTATTGAAAACCAGGCCATGCACGAGCTGCAGAAATCAAAGAGTTGCAAAAACTTTTCGGTGCCCCGGACCAAGTTAAATTGGTTTTGCATGAAGTTCTTTTATGTGCAATCTCTGCAGCACAAGTTGCATTCGCTTGCATGTCACGTGCGCATTTTGTGTCGGCTTTATTTTAAACACATTAGGCAAATAGAAATAAATACCGATCGGAAGCGTTTTGCTATGCAAATTATCGGTACTGAAGTGATTAGAAGCACATGCGGGCAATCGGCGGGCCAAATGTCAAGGACGAAAGGACTTGGCGAATAATTGGAGGCACTAAGCTCCTGTCCGGTCAAATGGTAATGTGGCATGTTATTAAATAAATTAAGCCGCTTACAGTAAATGGTCGGCGAAATGCAGCAGCTGCTGTTGCAACTGCAGGCCGCCTGTCATTTCCACGCGAAAGCAATTTAAATGCGAAGAATGCGTGTTGTCGATTACCGCGGAGTGGTGAATGAAAAGTGCGGGGATTTCTTGGGAAATGGTACTTTGGCCCCTCCTCCTCTGCCTGGAAATGGCACCATAAATAAGCGCCCGGCGTTAGTAATAGATTATGGCGAAAAGCATTGCATACCTATGGCAGCCATGCCGCTGAATAATGGTCGCTATATACCATTATACAGTCGGTTATAGTCGTGCGGGGGATCGCAATTTATTGTTGTTCCTTGTAAAAGGAAATGTTGGGGGTTTCCAACAGCCAACACAGCCAGGAGCAACAAAAGAAAATGGGGAAAACTATGCAGCAGAGTTGTGTCATTGTTGAGCGAATATTGTTCGGGGGCAAACTAAGTGCGCTGTACTTCATGTTCATTATGACATAGTCGAGCGTATCACTTAATTGTGCCCAGAAGTTGCAGGCGCGGACCTCCGCCCCATAAACTTTACAATTTCTGAGCTTAACACCGTGACATATTATTAACTCGGGACCCTGTTGAATTAAACTGAAAATGTTTTATGTAGCTGTATACACTTTCTAGACAGAATATGGGAGATTTTTACGGTATAAAGTATCTCTATACCATGACTTGTTTATATAATTAATTGAATCGAAAATATTTAACAAGACAGACTACAATTTTAGATAGGTTTAGAGGATTTATACGGCAGAAAGTATAATATCTAGCGATTTTAGTAAATCACCATACGTAATCACCATAGACGTATATTGATTTTACCCATTTTATAAATTGATTAAAAATATTTATGTTGTTATTTCTAGTTGTAATCAAATTTGATGCAAATTCACTAAAAATCAACTAGTTCCTAACTCAATTAGATGGCCAGTAGTTAGAATAAATAAATGTTTAATGAACTAGACTGCACAATTGGTTTAATCTTTCCGACCAGTCGCCCAATTTAGCTAATTTAGTGGCTTTTTTTGATATTACGTATTTATGCAACATCCCACTGACTCATGCAATATGCATTCAATGTTATTTGAAGTTCTAAACTTTCAATGGAAGCTGCTGCCACTCGAACTGCATAAAATGAAGTAGGTGATTATGCATCCCTTTTGGCTGCCAACCATCTGCAGTTTATGGGATCTGCATCGTTGGCTCTTCTCCTTCTCCAAATGACTCGCTTTACAGCACCGTTGTGGACCATTGCAATTATGAGGCATTAAAAACTCCCAATGGAAAACGGCGAGCGGAACATGTGCAAATAATACCCAATGATAAGCATAATTTATGCGTGCTTCTAATGGCCATTTTAAGTGGAGCAACCAGCATTTGAATGTAGCAAATGTTTTACAATCCAGTCCCCCAGAAAATGGAAAATGGGTCAATTGTATGGCCAAGAGAGCTCCAAGGAACACGACCGCACCGAAAACACATGCAATTAGCAGGCTGCAATTAGATTGCACACAAACTTGACGAGTTCATGCACTGCTCAGTTTGCGAACTCAGCTAATCAAGAACTTACAAACGAGGGAGCTTAATATAATATAATAATATAATATAATATATTACCTCAAACGATTAGAAATGGTGCTATTTAAATTAGTTTCAGTTAATTAAACCTGTGTATATATACCGAAATGTTTACACACGTCTTTAGAAGTTTATACCATATCCCTCAGAGATGAAGTTCTATTTGGGAATTTTGGGAATTGCGGTTCTTCTCGTTCCGGCTCTAGCGAGAAGCTATCCCCAACCACCGACCCCATGGGGACCTATAGGAGACTGGGGCAACCCAGGGCATAAAGTATATGATTGAATCTACAATGCATTTCAAAATTCTTTGCTAATTTAAAAAATAAAATCCATTTGTAATCTTTTAATAATAAACTAAGATAGAGATCTAGCGTTGGGTAAGGAACTACTTTACTGTACCTAGGTAAGGTAGCAGGCATTTGAAAGAATACATGGCACCTGGTACAAAATTAAATAATTAGATAGGTTAGGGTAAAATGTCAGGAAATCAGGGACTGTAAAAAATGATCTGTATAATTGTATTGATCTGTTTTTGAACTCAAAATCAGATTTGAAATGGTGTAATTTAAATTAGTTCCAGAAAATTATTCAGCATTCGACTTTATAGAAGTGTTTACCATATCCCTAAGATATGATATCTTGGTACGTATCAAGATACAAATATAAATCTTTAGTAAGAACTAAGCTTATTCTCAGCTGCCTAGGTAAGGTACACAGTAGTCCTTTATTTATGTACCTTGGTAAAATAAAACTTTCTGAAAAAATGTACCTAACTAAGGATGTGGGTACAAGTGGTTGAACATTTCTTTAGACTTACCTCACCGCCCTTCTCGTGGGCCACCTTGCTCAACCGGTAGCAGCGCTCCACGCCGATGGTGCAGATGGCCGGGTTGCACTGGGTGAGGTACCTCCCACTGCCGCAGCCCACGTCGCAGACCACGGAGCCGGGATCCAGGCCGCTGAGGAAGTGGGCCATCCGGGGACGCACTGGACCCGTGGGCTCCTCGCAGTGCTCGTACACATCGTGCACGTAGGCCCGTTCCAGAGCCGCCGATCTGCCACTGGCATCGCTACTCGAGGGTTTCTCCTCAACGGGTTGTGGTGGCGCCACAGTCTTTGTTGTCTCGCTGACAGGTGAACTGGAGGTGGCACCTCCTGCTCCTCCCGATCCCGTCTCGAGTGTTGTGGCTGCCGTTGGGGATATAACAGTGGGCGCCAAATCACCCGCTTGTCCTATGCCCGATGCCGCATTTGTTGCAGTTGCCGTTGTCAATTGCTTGGTCATTGTGGCTGCTGCTGTTGCAAGTGTGGCTGCTGCTCCCGATGTTGCTCTTGTCGTTGTGTGGCACTTGTCATATGTTGTCGAGGGGCAAACTTCATCTGCAGATTACATAAAAATAGATGGAGGAAGTCAAAAACGGGATTTCGCACGAATTTCGTGTCAGAAACATGACACTTAATAATTCCACGTACAGAAAATATCAGTCAAAACTTTCAGCAGACTGCGGAAGCATTAACTTGTTATATAAAATAACTTTGGAAGTATAGAAGAGACATTTCTATCCAAACTAAAAGCTCAAAAATATGAACTTTCATATATTATGGTTTTATGACACTTGTGTATTTTGACCAGCAAGCTGAATTTATTTAAAAAAACCATGCATATTTATAGCTTAGCCTCTTAGAAAAATCATTGTTTAGTTCATTGCTGAAATAAATCCAGTGAGTAATTCTAAATAACAGAAAGTGCCTTATGGTCATAAGAACTTGTTTAATTATTATATCTTGGCTACTTCTATAGACCGATAAAACAGTTTATGGAGTGCTATAATTTTTCACAATATTTCCTTTCCCATTTCAATTAGATAAAGTTGATAACTGCTTTCTGGAAACAAGGTCCTCCAGGACTTGCAGCTGAAGTGCTTCCATGAAAACCCATTTCTGGACGATTTCCATCGAGTTCTAGGAAATGCCCCCTTTAGCCTCTTCGTTATGCAAACTGCAGTGTAATTTATAATCCGCCAAACAATTTGTATAATTAAGCCAATTGCCTGGCATAAAGTCAATTTCAGCCCCGACTGCTTTTCTTGTTGCATGCCGTTGGAAATTTTGCGAAAAACGAAAGGAGGACTACGGTGCATGACATCAAGTCGTAAAATCGTTAGAAAAACGACAGCAAAAGCCACACAGACATATAAACACCAGCGAGTTGCATTCCGGATGTGTGGCAACTGTTTTTGGTTAGCATTGTTGTTGACATTTTATAACCATACTTCCGGTGGCACTCCGAATGGAAATTTTAACGCCTCGGGCGCAGGGAACTGGCCATTGTCAGAGCCAATAAATTGCATTAAAAGGCTGTTGCACAAAGGGAAATTACCATCAGTGGGTGGGCTGCTTTCCTCCAGGTGGGCCGTGAGCAGTGGGTGGCTCGGAAAGTTCAGAAGTGGGTGGCTCGAGGCCATTTGCTGGGAGCCACAGCAGCCGGCAGTGGGCGCCAAACGACATTAGTGCAGTAAAATGGAATTATAATTGAAATCTGATTAAAAGCAGTTGTAGTGCCAACAATGACGCAGCATTCACGATGGGGATGGTCTCGAAAGGGGGGCTACGACTGGGGACTACGCATGGCTCATGTCCTGGGGGCGTTAATGAGTTGGCGCCCATTCTGCGTATGTGTTAATAAGCACTGTAAATGAGTTATAAATGTATTTTATGACATTTTGATTGAAATAATGGCATAGAAAGGGAGACAAGAGAGCTTTAGGAGAGGCCAGACGCAAAGAGAGCGGAATATAAATCAGAAAATTGTAACCCAGTCATTTGTATTTCATCATCTAATGAAATATGTGCCTATCATATGTTTCACTTTCATTTCATATTTTTATGAAAAATAGTATGTGCTTATACGAGGTAAGATAATAAGATATTTTAATTTAAGATATTTTAATTTTTAAAGATGGTCTTAATTTTTAGTGAAGGTTTTCTGTTCTTAATAAGGGAACTGACAGTAGAGCAATTACTTTTAAAACGAATTTCTTAGAAAAACACTCTTAAAACAATCCATAATTAAACGTATTTCCTTTCCCTAAATGAGTTATTATTATAATAGATTAATGGCAAAGTAAGTCGTTCGGATACTAAAATCGTTTTAAGCTTTTCCCTGAGCTAAGCACCTACCCCTCAACAGTCTAAAGATTTTCTGCCGATGCCTACTTAAAACAGATAGCTTCCCTTTCATTCTTGGCTTCTGTTGAGCATGATGAGCACTCATTAACATCGTTTTTCCTGTGCTTGTCGCATCCGTATCCCCATCCGCATCCTAATCAATAAAGTGCTTTCCCATTACCCATACGCCGTGTGGTCCAGGCTAAGGTGCTTACCTTTTGTGGGGCCGTTGCTGCGCTGATAACTCGCATTCAACAAAGCCGTCGACGACGCCAGTTCCGCTGATAACATGCGATGTGGTATAGATGATATAGATGGGGATATTACGACGGGGGTCGTGAGGTCGGAAAATCAATGTGCATGCATAATTTAAAGTCGGTTGCGGCACTTTAGTCCTCCCTTCGACATCCACATCCACATCCAGTTGAAATGGGGAAAAGGGAACTTTGGACCCTCGACAACTTGGCGACGCGCGAGTATTTTTAGACTTTCGAAGCGGGGCACGTTCTGTACGATAATTTGCTCAATTTATTTTTGAAATCTATCATTATGGCAACTACACGGTGTAATTGTGCCGTGCTTGTTTTTGTTTTCCTGGCCACTGTGGCACTGAGGAGGACCTCCTGCTCCTTTCAGCTGCCACACAAAATAGGATACACAAAATGCGGGCTCCACGGACTCCTGTCAATGCCTCTGGCATATGACGTTTCCTTTGTGTGTGAGTGTGTGATTTTCTGCTTCTTACAGGCACTTTTCACTTGCACTTTTCCTCTGGATCCGTTCGTTCCGTTCTCATCGAAGGGGTCTTACCAATTAACTTTCCATTATCCCCTTCTCGATTTGGATTTATTCTTGAATTGTGTTTAATTTCTAGGACACTGGCACTTGGCGCTTCACTTGTATACATATATCCCTGTATATATATGGGGGCGAGTGGGGATTTGTGTACTTGTGTGTGTGTGAGTGCGCGTGTGTGAGAGGTCCTGCCTCAGCGATTTTCCCGTTTGTTAGCCGTTTTTTCAGCCCGTGTCCGTTCTCTCGGAGTGAAATTCGCGTTCTAACGTGAAAAGCCCCTTGGACTCCAGTGCGATTGTTCAAGGATGTTGCTCCTGCCGCTGTGGATCGCATTGGAAAAGCTCGGCCGACTTGACGAAAGCTTTTTGGAGCAGGGGCCCTCCGCTCACAGCTGTTCTGCAGAGAGGGAAAGTGAAAGCGGAGAGCCGGAGCGGGAGAATTCGCGAGTCTTTGAGTTATGGGTTAAGTGGAGAAAGGACTTTCTCTATAAACAAATACTTGACTAGCTTATTCATTAAGTTAAAGTAGATTTATAAGATAAAAATAATACGATTTAGACTTTAATAATAATATTAGCCTAGTTTATAAAATCGATTTTAGATTGTAGTATTTATGAATTTAATAGTTTTTTTGAGCAAGACTTCAGTCTTTAATATATACAACATAAAAGGTATCCCGAATGATTTAAAAATATATTTATCACTGATTTAATAACTGACAAAAATTTATAAATTTATTATTTAAATTAGATCTTATATCTAATATGATATGATTAATAAAGAATATATTTTCATTGATCAAATGAGGAATGACTAAGAAAATTAATTACAGATCACTTATTAAAATGTCTAATATAGTCCTGCAGGGTATATTATTAAAATGGAGTATATTTTAAAATCAGTATATTCAAAATACCCAACGTCATAGGTAGTCTTGGTCCTTCAATACAATTAGGTTATACGAAAATGGAAAAACGAATTGATTTGGGCATGCTTTAAATTAAAAAAGCCATATAAAATACAATTTGCGATGCCAAAGCCCCTTCGAGAGCTCAATGGCAGGCCAGAAATAGCCCGCCCAGGGCAATTAAAATGACAAAAGAAAGAAAAGCTCGGAATTCGTCTTTGTTTGGTTAACGCGAGTCGGCTTGTCAAATTTCATGAATGAACCCCACAGCGCAATTGAAAAAGTCAAAAAGTGAAAAAAGTGGAACTGGGGGAAGAGCAACAACCGCATGTGAAAAGCCATATGAAAAGCCAGTGCACAGAAATAGAAGCTTCGTCGAGTTGGCCAGTGAAATGTGTCGAAAATAGCAGAATTGCGAGGAGCCAGCCACGAAATAGGCGAAAAATAGCTCCACGAGCTGCCAAATGGCGCAAACTCTACCCAGAGTGCGTCCTTCTTCCTCCCGCGTCCATCCATCTCACTTGCACCCGATTACTGTTGATGAATGAAAAGCTTTTTGTTTTGCCTTTGCCGCTATCTCAGAGTCGCGTGGAAAATGGAAAAGTGGGAAAACTCCCGCCGATGTCGCTGTAGTTGTAAAGTAGCGCCATCCTCTGACGTCCCCGCATAGTAAAAGCTTGTAAGTCGGGGGATTTCCTGGGAGTGGGTGGCATCCCGAGCGTCACATGTCTTTTTCGGGCCGCATGACTAATATAGGCAAATGTCGAAAGAGTCGCAGGACGTGGCGCACATTTGGCGACATGCCAGGGCAGATACGCATTCCTAAAAGAAATGTATCTGTACTCGGAGAAATATTTCCTATCTGGATTTAAAGAGTACAAATTTTTAAAGGGAGCCACAGAAATCAGAGGGGCTTTAAAATTACTTAAGAAGATGTCCAAAAGTATGCAACAATATATTTTGAATTCATTTTTTGTACTGCATACTTTTAGACACACAAAACATTTTTTTAAAAGTTTTCAAATAAATAACCCACTCTTTTGTTACCTTACAATAATACTTTTCAAAGCTTTTTGAGAGAAATAATATAATAACAAATACCAGGACTCCATTTTTTCTCTCAGTGCACTCCCTTAACTGGTAATGTCTGATTTTCGCCGGTAGGTGAGTTGATGTCGTCACTGAACCAATGGATACGCTGTTGAATGATTCACAAGTGCGAATGCAAGGAGTGGGTGTTATACGACATGTTGCGACAAAGGAAAACTTTTCTGATGCCAGATTGAACTTAAAGTAGAAGTTTACAAGTGGAAGCGACTTTTATGATTGTTTAGGGCTATCTTTAGCTTTGGCCAAGAACGTCACAGCCGGTGACGTTTCGAAATTTGACTTGATTTTCTGGGGACGGGGGAATAAACAAATAGAAATGCCCCACAGAAGATAATATTATGTATGTAGCGATACAGATATATAAGTAAATAGGTTTCCCTATGCGCCATTGGATGTGTTCTCGCCTTGGGCGCACGCCTGGCATCTAACGAATGTGGCATCATTAGTTCTGTCATAGTCATAAATCATACGCCCCGTGGAACGCACATTCGTATACCCGGCAGCACGCCAGGAAGGCAAGGATGAACACGATATTGCGGCAGGACTGCATTGCTAATAATGTCACGTAGCACAGCTTTTGACAGTCAAGTGTCACACACACTCCACTGCCACTTCCATTTCCACTCCAGCCGGAATCCAAGATTAGGCCAAGCTCAACATGGCCAATTATGAGGGGGTGTTCCGAGGTTCCCAGCCCCCCACTTTGCGTACACCTCCCCCCATTCCGTAATCTCCCTCAGAAGCGCAAAATTTAATTACGAAAACTGTGCTGGAAATTATGCCAAAACATACGCAAGGACAGAACGTGGCAGCCATACCAAAAATGCCAAAAATAAACAGGAAAATGGCAAGAGGAAAAACTCATTTCGCAGCGTTATCGCCGCCCGGCAATCAGAGCAAGCCGCCCACGAGCGAATCCATATTCTTATCCGCATCCTTATCCCTGTCCTTGGCAGGCAAAGACATTTCCTCTTTTTGTGTGTCGGCAAATGAAGTGCAAATTATGCCAACGGAATGGCCAGTGGAAAAGCAAGGAAAATCGCGGAAAACAAAGCGCTTTTCACGTAGCCCCGAAAAGTATGCCATATACACACAAGTGAGGGGGGATTTTAGGGGGCATTTTGAGTAGGATTACATGGCTAAGCATAACTTTATTGAGGTTGGTCCTCCCCTTAACCCTCTAATGCCTCGCGCGTGGCATTGTCAGCACGTTGGGCGCCACTCGAAATGGTCGCGTGTAGTCGGTAGTTTCAGCGGAAAACCTCGCTTTTCGCCGGCCTTTGTGGCGGCCCGATGGCATATCTTGTTGCGCATTTGTCCATGTACCACGGTCAATGTTCTCGGCCTGGCCAATGTCACCCTGACGTCAGCGTCCTCCAGGGAAGCCCCTACCCCACCCTTCCACTGCCAAGGCCAAACAAATGGGTGTCCAATGTCGCGTGACGCACAAGGATATCGAGTCCTGTGATTGTCGTCGTCGCTGCTCTGCCTTAGATGATTTTTCTAGCTTTCGCTGTTTGCTCTGTCACGTGTGTGCCCAGCCAATTAGAGTTATAGCCTGGCTAAGAGAGAGAGAGTCGGGAAGAGAAAGCCACAAAGCTCTAGAGCTTTCTCTAAGCAGGTGCACAAACCATCTCGGAAAAGCCGCTTTCGTGGGTGGAAAAGTTACAGGAGCGGTTCTTTAGGGTTCCCCTATAAACAAAACAAAACTTATTATAAGAGATCGTATTTGGATTTTGTTAATAATGAAAAGGTACGAATCTAATTATGCTTAAAAGGATCTAAAATGCAAAATTTCTGAGAGCATACCTTTGATATAATATTGTTTTTAATATCTTCTTAAATATCCACTTAATTAAAAGCTTCTAAAGAATTACTTTATTATTATGATAGCTTGTATCGATTTATTATATCAACTTCCATAGGATCTTGGTTCGTCAGTGATTCAAAATGTTGGACAATTCTTCAGCTGAATTCACGTTCTGGGAGCTTTGACTAGAGGTGCCTCATTTCACAAGAAATGGGCTAGAATCGGGTGATCTTGTTGTGATCGGGCGAGGGGGGCAGCGAGGAGACCGAGGATCGGGAGGGACTCTGGTGGGGTCTTGGAGGAGGACGCTGGGGATTGATGTTGGCATTGGCCTGGCGGAGATTGGCGAAGAACTGCTGGCGACGAGGTCCACCTCCTCGCAAGGGCAGAGTGGGAATCTCACTGGGCGACTGGTGGTTCATCTCCTCCTGCGAACAGTGCCGCATGGCGGGATTCACGCACTCGTAGACACTCTGTGAAATATAATTTGATTATAATTAAAGTTCATTTTGTTTTAATTGAAAACCCACCTGTTCCGAGGAGTACTGATTGTTCTGGGCAAAGGCCAGCGAGGTGAGCGAAGGCAAAGCCTGGGCAATATCCGACCGCTCGATGCCCCTTACAATCAAGAAGGTGCGTGGTATCAGGATACCCACTAATACAGCCCAACCAGAGGCCTGTAGTCCCAAGGGTATAGCTGCATCTCGCCACTCATCACCGAACAAGGACAAAGCTATCCAGGCAACCCAAATCACCATTATGAGAACCGATCCTATAACAATCAATATGCCCTCGCGGTAATTCCTCTGGGACCGATAGACGGAGGGTATCAAGGCGCCCACACAGCAGAGGAGTACGAAGTCATAGGCCAAGAGGCCCCACAACCAACGGCCATAGTAGATGTTCTCACAGGAAACAGTCTCCGAGGCCACGTGCATCACGACCAGGAGTTGCACGGACATGCCCACCTGAGCGACGACACTGAAGGCGCAAATCACCGCCTGGATATAGCCATTCACGTGGGATAGGAAACCTCCCTCGGACCCTATAGAAGCCAACATGACAGCCCGGCAGAGGAGTAGCGAGAACACAAAACAGTAGACCAGAGTCATAATGAAAACCCTCACCGCGCAGAGGGTATTCAAAGTCTGGGCATCCTCGAAGGTCACATGCGAATTGCGCTGCTCGCCGACATACTCAATCGAGAAGGGCACAAAGGAGCAGAAGACCAGGATGAGGGATAGGAGCAGCAATATCGAGGTGGCCGGGTTGCCCTCGAAGACATCCCCCAGCGAGATGCGCACCACAATGAACACCAGGATGGCCAGCGTGGCAATCAGGCCCAAAATGGCAGCCGTCAGCCCAGTTGCCACCCATGTGTCCATCTTGATGCGCCAGAACATCACGGATTCCCCATCGAACAGGAAGGGATACCTCCTGTTATCCCCGGCACTGTACTGGCAATTGAACACCTGACCGAACTTGGTCTTCAGCTCCAAGCTGGTGTGATTATCCCGATTGTAGTGGTAGTACGTGGTCACGTTGCTCACAAAGTTCTGCGAGGCAATCTCACGCAGCTCCGTTCGGGACTCGCCCGTGATCTTGTCCAGCGTCAGGACCTTCTTCTGATACATCTGGAAATTCATGGCGGTGCCCAGTTTGCGCATCATCAGCAGGGAGAGGATCTCAGCCGTATCGTGGGCCTGCCGATACGCCGAGGTCCTCCAGTCCTCTATGAAATTCGTGAAGCTGAAGCAACTCTCGAGGACATACAGCTCCTGCTCCGCATCCCGCTTGCAATGCTTGGACAGGGATCCGCGCAGCCAGTTCATCAGATCGATCATGGAGCCGGCGAAGCTGAGAACCCGCGAGGGAACCACACTCTTCCCGATCAGGATGTCATCGAGCGAGGTGGGCGAGGCGTCCAGTTCGGTGGCGGTGCTCAGGTCGATTTCGTTCTCCATCAGGACGAAAGCTCTGTTGGGTAAGTCTTGGGGGAGAAATAAGTAGTAAATATGTTAAATGATATTATTTAAATTGTTGAAAATTTATATCTAATATATGATTTTGCAATATAATAAAAAACATAAAATAATGGTGAACACTAGTAAGTTTTAAAGACTTTGAAAGAACATTTTGATGGTACTTTTGATGGAAAATATGATATGTCATCTAAATTAATTATTATTAATATCATAATCAATCGTATCATAATAAAATATATTTTCCAATAGGTATATCCTCACTTTTCTTAACTTTTCTAATGAAACTCTACCCACCTGCCAGAAATTCATCGTCCGTTCGCTCGGTGGGCACGGAAAACAGAGTGCCATTTTCCCTGAAGTGGCTGGCCAGCTTGTTGCCAAACATTATGTACACGTTCTCGTCACTTTTGAAGTGCATGAGGCACATGTGCTCCTGGCGGGCGGCCTCCATGAATTCATTGTACATCTCCAGAGTTTCGGTGGCTATTTCCACGGATGCTATTTTCTCGCCCCAAGGCATTTGATGCAGCAAATGCGCCACCTTGGGAAAGATGTGGGCCCGAGTGCCCGGTATTGGCCAGATATTGTACTCGAGGTCCTTGATAACCGACTCCAGTGGTTTGTACAGCTCCCAGTCGAGGAAAATTCCCAGGGAATAGGCAGTGCACTGCTGCAGATATTGAACCTCCTGGAGGAGTAAGCTCTCAGCTAAACTGGCGTTGTCGATGCTAATGGCGCGAATTCCTGGAAGGGAAAATATAAAAATAATAAAATTGTATATGTATGGGTTTTGATAGATTGGTTATGGTAGCAATAAATGTTTAAGAAGGGACTTCACAAACCAATTTCAAAGTCTGCCATTATGAGATTCGCCTGGTTCACTCGATTGATTACGAACAAGGCGGAGTCGGGATCCTTGGTCAGGACACTGAGCATCACCTCGCCCTCGAGAATCTTGACAAACTCCTCCTGCTTTCGTATCACAGGTCCCTCATCCGCACTGTTGACGGTCATCTGCAGACCGTTGAGACATATTTCCGGCACTAAGCTGGCAGTTGTTCCACTGCTGCTGCTGCTCCCCTCGGTTGTGGATGAGATGAGCAGCGCCAGCTGGCCATCCACGGAGCTGGAGGTTCCATCGGTTCCATCGTCGGTGGGCTGGGCCACCGTTGTTGCTGGGTCCCTTGTGGTTATACTGCTGATGGGCTTGGCCTGTGGACTTGTGGGCTGCGGTTTGGTTATTCGAAGGGGAGCCGACTTCTTGGTGGGTGATGTCACTTCGATGCCATGGCAGTCCAAGATGCAGATAGACAGGGTGATTAGGACGCAGACAAGAGCTGGAAATCGGGTATGTAATTTAATTTAAATTAAACTAAGGAACAAATATAATATGCTAATATTTAAAGACTTTGGTTTTTAAACTAAATAAATTGCCAGATATATTTTTTCAGTTTGTAAGATTACAAAAAATATTATGACATTAAATTACATTGTTCAAATACTTAGGAAGGAAATGACATGTTTATAGCAATATAAAAACTCAATTTTATCTGAAATGTCAAGAGAACTAAAAAAGAAGTACTTGATATTTTCTCAGATTGGCAGAAATACTTGGAATCGATTGCTTAAACAATACAGGAATCTCAAAGAAATCTGCAGAAATGGCCGTGCCATTTTCCTCACTTACTTAAAACTTAAATGGCAGTCGAGAGAAAAATTAAGCACTTGAAATATTCTCAGAACGAGTATAAGAAGTCCGTTCAAGTTGTCATTTATTCCATTGCGTTTCACTTCTGCCTTACAACATTTACAGAGCACTCACCCACTGGTAATGGCTTCCTCCACGAATTTATGACCTTCATATCAAGAGTTTAATGGTTTTTAATTAAACAAAAAATGGCCGTTGATGATAAAGAGATTTTACACAGTCTTTTCCTCAACGAGTGCTGATAATTGGTATCATTTTCTGAGGACGCTAGAACAGAGAGATATTTGTAAGTTGGATATTAGCAATTAAAGACTGGTGCACAGTTTTATTTTCAGCATTTTCCATTGTTTCCGGCCACTTCAAGCCACATTTGCCGACTGCGTGGAGAGTGTTGCACTTTAATCGCATTAAAAAATGTCACACTAACACAGTTTGCACTTTTCCAAGTCCGTTTCTTCGTGATTTTCCCCACTATCAGTGCGAAGTAATGCGGTGGAAAATATTTCTGTTTCGCATATTCCCCCTCACTTTGGGAAAATCAATAGAACTGCTTTATGTTTTAAAGGCGACTTCTGTGATTTATGGGACCCACCGCACTTTTTACACAGATTCACGCACCGAGCCCTCCGACAGTCTGGGCCACAATAGTTTTGGTTTCAGCCGTGGAAGAGAAAAACAATTGTAACGCCTCAGTGATTTTAGGGTCAATTAAACGACTCTCGTTTTATATTTGCCCAGTGATGTACGCAGCACTCAAGCCATGAATTTTATTTGTCCAATTTGATTTGTATGCCCCTGTGCTAACGGGTGCAGTATTGCAATTGCCCCACAATGCAATTATGTTCTATTCGATTTTTTTGTCTCTTACTTTTTTATTTTATTTTTTTCGCCGTTTTTGAACCCACCCCCACGGAACACTGATGTGGCAATGTTTTGCACCTGTTTTGGCCGTTTTGTTTTGACTAACTTGGCTTAGGCCCGGCACTCGCTGGTTGTTATGGTTATTGGCTCAAACTGTCACTCGGCCTTTGAGTGCTTTTCACTTCGCCCATCGAGTGTACACTTTCCCATAATTATAAAATAAATATGTACGCTGTACACCCCGAAGCCAGTTCAAATATTGGTCATTGCAATTAGCCAACTTGCTGGGCAAAAGTTTCGGGTTCCCGGAAAAGGGTGAAAAAAGGGTTGACTGTCAAAGGTGCCGATCAGTAATTGCAATTTTTGGTACTCGACAACTTGACAGCTTGCACAATATTATTTTATCCACTTCTGGTTTATCAAAATGATGTATTTCATTTAATGGCCAGCCAATCTAAACTGGTTCCCAGCTGAATGTTCTGCAGAATATCCTTGAAAATGGAATCGACACTGGGGCCTTGGCTGCGGGTTTTCCGGGTTTCGGGCTTTTGCATAACACTTTTAATTCATGTCAAAGGCAACATCAGTTGAAAAACTGAAAATTGCACTTGTCTACTACATTGCATAAGTTTAGTTTTAATTGTTTTCCCTGGGGTTTCTAACTTTTATTGCCCCCGAAAACTATTTTCAGCTTCACTTGTCGTGTATTTTATTTTATTTGATTTTTATTTGTTTTTATTTTTAGCTCACACGCACTAATATGTTAACGACGGACCACGTTCACGTTTAAACTGTTTTGGCCAACTGAACTGGCGGAAGAACTGGCAGAACTGCCGCGGCCGTAAGCCCATAAAAATGCAGCTGCAGGTTAGGGTTAGTGGCTGGTGGGGGTGGTCTTAGGCCCTATTTTCCACTCGACTCATTTTTACCTGCTCGGGGGTGATGCCTTGTTTCGACCAGCTCAGTGGTTCTTGCCTTGCAGTCAATATAATATGCAGTTATTAGTGACACCAATGGGCACTACTGAGCCGGGATTGGTAATGTCAAGTGCCAAATAGGTCAGTTTCAGGCCCAATAAAAGGGAATTTCAAATAATGCGTTAGATAATAGTGTAGCCTACACCCAGGAAAATATTGATCCATTCATTATGATTTTATGGTAAATTATTCTAAACCTTAAAAAAATTCGGAAGTAATATATTTTTGGTTGTATAAAAATCACATTCACTCATAAAAATAACCAAGACAACAAAAAGGTTTTTTTTAATTTAAAACGAATACTTTATAAAACATATTTTATAATTTTGAACATAGTTTAATTATGATCCCCAAGTCCAATTACATAAATAGGTGTACGCAAAGTACGAGCAATACTAAGATATTGCTAATTTTTGGAAGTATGTGATCTAAACTTAAATATTACATTTTTTGGATTTTACGTTGTTGGGGGAAAATTTAGTTCATTCCAAAAGAAAGTGTTGAACAAGTTATAAGATGATGGGGAAAGGTCCTTCCACCATACATGAGGTTTATCCATTGTCTGATCTGACTTGAAGTATATATAGCTAGTCCATTGGCATTACTGACCATCTCCGGCACCCTTGTTGGCGGCCCTTCGATTCAATTTGGCCGAAGGTCGAGCTGTGGCCGCTCCTTTTAGATATTTCGGCCCACAAACATCATCCTCGCTACAGGTTGAGATGTCCGAGGAGAACTGGAAGTCATCAACCTCGGTGTAGGTCTCATCCATGCTATCTATGGGGTTTCCCCCTCTGTGTCGTCATCCTTTTTGTCACCCTGACAGCCTGCCATGTTACGGGAACTCTTGGACCCCGGTTCACAGAGTCCCCCGCTGGACATTTTCTTGGGTATCAAGATGTCCTCCAGATTGGGCAGTTGCCCATCAGCACCCATCTGTTCCTTCATTTGCACCTGATTGCAATAGCGCTGAATGTGATCGATTACCTCGCGAACGCCCATTTCAGAGGATTTTCCAACTAAGCTATGGTCAGAAGAAGATTTTCGTGCTGCCATGCCCTGCTGTTGAGCCTTCGAGGTACCATGATAGGCCCCGAATTCTTTAGAGCTTCGTTAATCTCCTTTTTATGGTTATTAGTCGCCCTGCTTTGACCCTTGTGACCTTTTACACCCTGGTGCTTAAGAGTCTGGGATGGTTTGTATCCTAGATGTTTGCTCGCTGAGGCAGCAGCCACTAGGTTCGCCTTCGAGAGATTCATCATCTCGGGAGTAGGCGGCTTGCCCGTCATCATCGATTGGTGCTGGTAGAACATCTTATCGTACTCGGACTTCATGCACAAGTAACGAAAGTGCCGAGAGTTCTCTTCGCCGTAGTAAATAACCTCTGGGGTAGGGATAAAATGAAAATAAAATAATAGTAACTGGGATACTAGGTGGTAACCTACTACTGGTGACCTGTTCCTGCAGCTTGTCCAGATTCTCGTTGGTCTGCTTCAGCTCGCCCGAGAACCTTTCGATTTTGTGGCTCAGATCCCGAAAGTTCTTTCCCAGAGCATCCGATATGGTGTTCTGAAGGAAGAATAAATAATATTACAAATAATAATCAAAACTTGAAAGCCTAATGTTTAACTATCCAGGGGAAAATACTAAAATATATTACTAGATATCAGTATTTTTACTATGTTGTGCAATAATAATGGGTGCTTATAATTTAATATTTGATATGTCCCTTAACTCATGAGATTATACAGTAGAATTTGGCTTGGCATATTGAAATAATATAGTACATTTTGAGAAACCTATTGATAAGGGTTCAGAACTCACTCCTACGGCAGTTTGGACGGTCTGGCGAATCAGCTCGAAGAACTCCTCGGGATCGTCCTCCTTCTCGTCATCGTCATCGGCGGTACTCACGTGCACCTTGCTCGTCGGGATCGGCTGTCGCCCACGCGAGTGCTTCTGATGGGGATGTGGATGCGAATGTGGATGTGGATGAGGATGTGGATGGGGATGTTGGCGTTGCTGTTGCTGCTGTTGCTGCTGCTGCTTGATGTGACTGTGATTGGGCATCTGCTGCTGGTGGAGTTGATGCTGCGGCGGATGCTGCATCACTCCGGACTGCATCTGCATTTGCATCTGGTGGGCATGGGAATGCTGATTGTGCCTCCGCATATTCCCCAGATTTCCCTGCTGCTGCTGGGGCACCATTAGCTCCTTGTCGGAGAACTCGGCGTTATCGTCCATGGCATAGTTGCCCCTCTGGGTATTGCCCTTTCCATGGTGCTGCACTCGATAGCCCTCCTTCGATTTGGCCATGCTATAACCACCATTGTTGGCCTTACCCTCACCCTGGCCAAAATGCGGAATCTTGTTCATCGGCGGCTGGCGGGCACTGGCCTTGTTGGCCATATTGTTTCGCCTCGAGGACATGGCATTATAGGGCGACGGCTGGGCGTGACCGGGAATCATCTGCGATGGCGATGTCTGCGTCATCGCACTGGGGGCATTCCGCAAATTAGCCGCCGTCAGGGGCAAGTTCGTGGTAATATAGTAATCGTTTTCGGTGACAAAACTGCGCTGCGTGCGGGCATCGGCTTGCCGGGAGCTAATGGTTCCTCCTGCCCCACCTGGAGCTCTCATTGTGGTGGTTTTGGTCATACCTGCATGGGATATCGCCACTGATTTCACAGGATGCACAGTGTCCATCTTGGACCCGTACACCTCCTCGATTCCCTTGCGACGACTGGGGCGCACCATTCTCATCGAAAGGCTTGTGTTTTTGGCTTTACTTATTGCAAACTCTTATCAATTTTAGCCCTGGATTTCAGCGGCTTTCGGTTCTACCAATTAACGCAAATGCACAATAAAGTAAAACTGTACTCGAAATATTTTACATTTATATGTGTTGTTCCGGTGTCTTAGCTAAAGTGAATGGGAATGTATGGACAAGTGTTGAAAGTAAATAGAGAAGGCTACTTTGGTAGCCAGATATCCAGAAATGTAAACACAAAAATTAATTTACAAAAATATTAAAAATGTGTTCTACACTTTAAAAGTAATATTTAAATTATAAGAAAAGTTATATAAAGTCAGTTAAAATAATAGGAACTCAATTTTTTTTGTGATCCTGGGTTATTGAAATATTATACAGCATTTTTCAGCTCCTGAAAAAATTTAAATTTGTATATATTTAAAAACTTTGCAAGTACGCAGGGATTTTTATACACCTGTTCTCTTTATAAACTGAAAAATAATATTGCCCTTGATAAAGTTCTGTTGTTCTCCGCATTTGTCAAAGTAATCAAAACGCTCTAAATTATGAATGTTTTTTAAAATCACTCCATCACATTTGCTATACTTCCCCATTCCGACAGATTGATAGATTTCTGAGCAAAAATCGCATTTATATTGGTTACTCACCCCGACTTCCCACCGAATTTATTTTCACACCTCGAACACTAAGCAGCAAACACCTCCTCATTATTCTGGCCGCAGGTGGTGAGGGAGTTTTCCCGTAAATTTGTTTACCTTTTGCCGCTCAACTAACCGCAAATGGCAACGACACAGGGCGAAGGTTCAATGTTTTCCCGCTTTGCCGGAAATATTTGTTCGCCTCGACGCCAAATCAAATGCTAATGAGATGCATCCGATTGGGGGCGTGGATGCTCCTCAGAAGTGGTTCATCGCTCAAGAAATTATTACCAATATTTATCCGATTATTTACCTTTGAACCGCCTCAGGCGGCGCTCTGTGTAGCCAAGGCGAATGAGTCGCAGGATGAATCCTTAAGCAGGCGATGGCAACTAGCTTTAAGGCCATGTCTGGACGGCTTAAAATAGACCGCTTAGCCTCAGGTTACAGACACTTAAGACTCGAAGGGATGCGAATGCGAATGCGAAAAAAGGGGCTCAATAGAAGTGCTGAAGGACCCTTGAAAATTGGGTCATCTGTCCGTGGGGATTGCGCCTTGAAACGGAAAACCCAAGACGACTCCTCTTTCTCATATCCTCATTATGCAAATTGCGCATACGACGCGTGTGCTGCGGGCCACTGCAGGAGGCCCCCACTTTCTCCTTCTCCTTTCTTTCAAATCATTTTGTTGACAATCTGTTGCATGCGAGTGTTATTAGAGCAGAGATGATATCTGTGGGAATACACCCTTTTCGATTCCCTTGCAGCTCACTTAATGTCTTGGTCATAAATACAAACGAACCATGAAATGCCGACGACGATGACTATAATTTAAGATCCTGGCCTGCATTTGAATTGCAACCTTGGAAAACCCATTGCCTGCATGTGTTGCGCATAAATATTGCAACATTCGAGGAAAAGACAAAGGTCACAGAGGCTATATTTGTGGAAAATTCGACGAAAAGCTTCCGTTAAGCCTTTGCCGTTGTTCGGATTGTCATGGCAATACAAGATATAATCGCCATATTAGTGGTACCAGTGAAACTCCCTTGATTGGCTGCTCTTCGATGTTCGCTGGAGTGTTTCCCCAGATTAGCTGCAAAATGCCAGCTAAATGAGCAGCAAAACAAAACGTGAGCCATTCCAAATTAATATTAGTCGTTAGCATTATGCGGAACGATAAATTCTGATGGGCCGCGGCATTAGACCAGCTTAAGGCGGAGACATTTCCCCGAAATTTATCAACCAAGAAAGTGGCCCCGCGGCCCAAATAAATCATCCAAATTGTGACCGCAGATTTTAAAGCATTCGCTGAACCACACGAAATAAGAAATGTTTTACAGTCATTTCTTTATTTTAATTGCAGGCCGGCCAATTAAAAGGCAAGTGAGCGTTGCAGTATTTTACAAACGCATAAATTTGTCGGCTGTCAGCGGGATTTTGAAGACTTTCCGGACACTTTTCCGACTGCCCACCCAAAATACGTCACTTGCACAATTTTAGTTTTCTATTTTTGGCTTGATGGCAGAGGAATTTCGTGATTTGCTTAGAACTGAGTGGTTCCTTTGTTGATATTTAATGGCTTAAATCAAAATGGCACAATAACTAATGAGCAACAGCACGAATTTCCTCCAAAATGTCTATGAAAAAGAAGATAAAATTAGACAAAGAAAATTAAATCACTTGTTTTTAACGACTTGCAATAATAAACCATGACCTATTCAATTCACAGCTTTAACAAATTGGCAAAAATAGAATTTATCCAAGAACTTCCGCTATACTTATAATTTATTAGTTATATTAAAGGAGGAGTCTGATTTCTCTGAATTAAATACTTTTTTTCTTTTAAGAGCATTAAAGAATCAACCATATGTTTTCTCCTCATTGTATATTTATAATGAAAAATACATATATAAATTCGGCCGGCGAGTGAATAATTTTACGGCTATTTATTTGCTTAATTTAAGAGCTATTTATTTATTTTAAAGTATCTCCGCTGACAGACGAACATGACGAGCGAGAATTTCCGCCCATTCTCACTCTTTCTGGGCCGTGTGCTTTATGACAAAATGTTCACAATAAATAAATGGTACAGCGAAATAAATTGCCTCTACAGATATGATACAAATAAATTTGCTTATTTATGCGATGCTGCCAAAGTATCCAACAAATTTCGCGATTCGATACGATTCGAATCGAGTCTCTCACTTGCCTTCTCATAAATGCAGCTGCTGTCGCTTTGTTCTGTTTTGTTTTCGGCTTTTCAATAAAAAATTACTTCTCGACTCGACTTTGATTGTTGATGATTGTTTTCTGAATTTTGATGGCTTTTTGTCACGAATCCAGAACGGAGCATTTCTTTATGTTGCCCATTATTTATACGCACTGAAGATCAGCGAGGTACGTGTTGTTTTTTAAAAACGTTTTTTGCTCATCACAGAAAACTGAATGAAATGAAAATACAATTTCCTGGTATTTGGGTCAGCAGAACTGTTTTTGCCTCCCTTCAGTTGAATCAATTAAAGTCATAAACATGTGATGTAATTTTAAAGGAAGTGCACTGATTGCCTTTATGAGGTAGGTTTTGTGATATGTTTTTATCATATGTCTCAAGGCTTACAAATTCAAATAGAAAATGTATTATTAAAACTTATAAGTCGCTAAATATATGGAATTATTTATAACTTGATTTTAAAATAATATAAAATTTAATTCAATTGTTAAAGTATTTAAGATATTACTGTTTTTCTAAATTTTTAATAAGCTTATTGTAGTTATCAATAGGTGATAAGAAAGCTCGTGTCTTGCCTAATGTTGCTCAACAGCAAGCTGGCAGCAACATGTTGCTGCTACACCCTCTACACTGCTTTATATTAGCCCCTTGAATCCGGCTAGTGAACAATAATTAATTGGTCAACTGGCCATAAATATTAACTCAACACTCGACTGCGTATATCCGTGTGGTTTGGTCAAGTGCAGCAGCAACATGGCTAGCAATATCTGCTGCATGTTGCTGGTGCTTCCGACCAGAAACGAGTTCGGCAACATAAACAAAAAACAGCTGTTCCGATTTGTTCAGTTGTCGGCTTCTTTGGCCGGCTAACTTAAATGTGGGGTGAAATCAGGCAGGTCACTTGTCGTGTGCCTTCGTGTTGCCGTTGTCGGCACACCAGCAACACCACCAGCGGCAGCAGCAGCAGCAACACCAGCAGCAGCAACATCAGAAGCAGCAGCAGCAGCCCAAACAGGAAAATCCGCACGACGATGCCACACACAGAAATTCAGTTCAATGCGAAATTTTGTTTGAGCCAGACGCGAAATTTCTCAGCGCTGCGGGTCCAAAAATCTCGTTGTTAAGTGCGTGAAAAGTGTCAACAAATAAGGGAGTCTAGTGAACAATAAATTATTATTTACCAAAAAAATTAAATTAATTAATTTACATAAAAAATTAATTAACAATTAACTTGGCATATAAATCAAGCCATCGCGTGTGCATCTTCGTGATAAACTTGTAAGACAAGACAACCTGACCAAGCGAAAAACCCAGTGAAATCGCTGGCCAATTGACAGCGGCGCTTGTTCAACACATTTTTCAACACCAAACTCAATTCCCATTTGAATTTGAATTTGAATTCGAATCCAAAGTGTAATTTCAATTTCCATTTCGAGTGGACAATATTCAATTGGAATTGCAATTGCAATTCATGCCACGGCAAGTGAATTGAGTGAGTATCGCGCCGCGATTGCGCAATTACAACTACTAAGCGCCATGCCTTGGACTCCATGGCTCCCTCTTAGCTTAAGTATCTGTATCTGTTCAATTTCAATTCCAACTTACTATATGCATTCGTTCGCATTTAGTTGACAGTGATTAATCTTAACATTTGAATGCGAAATCATGCTAAGCTCGCCAATTAATTTGTTCGCCTGGATTTCCATTCGGCGACGGCGACGACGACTGCGACTCAATTATGCATGTTACACCAGGATTGCAATTGGTTTTTCGCAAAATCGCACATTTTAGCCAACAAAATGCAAGCGAATCGATGGCTAATTGATTGAAAGAGTGGTCGGAATTTCATTAGGATTTAATAGCCACCCTGTCATCACAATTAACACTTAATTTGACTTAATTGTACTTGCAATATTTATTGCTTCAACGTTTTGTTCAATATCATTAGGTGAAAAAAATGCAATAAGAATTTCATTAGGATTAATTTAAAATGTATGTTGTAAGTGACAAGCTGAATTTTAGTTAGTTATGCCTAATGAAAAAATCAGTCTAGCTTTTAGGTAAATTAAATATTTATTTTATTTACATAGACACAAAAAAGGCTTTGCCCACTTGGGAAATAATTTTGTTTTTACATGACATTTTATTAAACGGGTCGATGGAATTCCGTTTGGAGGCAAAGCTGACATGAAATTTATTTTATTCACATTGCCTTAATGAGAAAAAATGGATTATTAAACCGGATTTTTGTATGATATTTAAAAGAAGTCAGCTATTCGTTGCTTAGATAAATATTGCAA